ACCTTCTGGGACCTCTGCAAGAACCTGGTGTTTCTGCAAATGGACTTCTCGGCTAGCCCAAAGGCAAAAAGGAAAGATAGTGTTGCAATACAGACTGACAGTCAAACAACAATGTCATCTTTATTTGAGACTTGTGGGAGACCCCCCTTGGTGAGCCAGTCCCTCAGCAGTTAGCCTTCTGGGTGCTGGGAAGAGTCCCTAAAGTATCCTTAGTTATAGGTCTCCAGCCTGAACCCTTTTGTACTTTTGAGAGGATATTGGGTTGTCATAAAAATCACAAGCAAGCACTTAGCATTCTCCAAAAGAATCTGATTCAGGGAAAAGTCCAGATTCTTTCCCTGCTGCTGGTGAGCAAAGGGAAAAATGACTGCATTTCATGGAGATACTCCATAGAGGGAGCCCAGTGAGAAGCCCACAAATCTAGCCCCAAAGGGCCCAGGCAAGAGAAGTCCCATCTTGAACGGATTCTGAAATTGCAGAAGTTCTGTGAGGAGGCAGTTAAGGAGCAGGCGAGGGCAGCATGTGGGCCCTGCCACAAAGAGCTCACATCCTAGATTTGAAATGATACAGACACACTGACCAGCAGCAGAGAATCCCACTTGTCCCAAGGGCTTGCCGGATAATGAGGGCTGTCAGAATCCGGTGTGCTGGAGACCTGCAGTCATCCAGAGGGACTGTGCATCTGGATCTGGCCTTGCAAGGTGGAGGCACAACACAAGTGGGTATAGCAATGAGGACAAAATGGAGAGGGCTTATTGGGACCCCCAGTGGTCACCTGGCCCAGTGTGTGAGCCTCTGTGGGCTTTCTGGTCTTGTCTTAAAGTTGACCAGCAGAGAGCAGCATGAGGCCACAGCAACTGTGCACATGGCCACACTGACTAGGCCAGGGACACACAAGAGAAAAGAGGTGGGGCCTGAAGCCATATTCCCAAATGAGTTCTGCTGCTTCTCTGTTGGATCCCTTGAAGCAGAGCTAAGCTCCAGAGAAGGGAGTAGGGTCACACATCTTGGAGAGAACTCAGATTCACATTTGTTCATTCAACTATTCCTTCAGCAGTTATTAATTGAGCGTTTACGTGGCTCTCAGCCCTTTTCAAAGCACTGGGACTGCAAAGGTGAGTGATATAGTCTTATACCAATCACAACAGCAGGGATGAATGCTTGTATTATGTTCATTTATTGTGGGCCAGTACTGATCTAATTGCCTAATTTGTTCATTCTTCCCCACAGTCCCCTGAGATGGGCACTGTTGTTTGCCCAGTTTTACCAAAAAGGGGACTAAAGTGTAGACAGTGTATGTGATGTGCCAAGAGATGGAGCCAGGATTCGAACCCAGGCAGTCTGGCTCCAGAGTGCTCACTCTTATTCATTTTGCTACGCCAATACCACTTACACAAGCAGATATTCATCAGCAGGCCATGCTGATATTCAATTGCTGATTGCTAAAAAGAAAATAAAATGGAGTGTCCTAATCACATCTGGGGTTAGAGCAACCTTAGATTCAGTGGTTAGATAAGCACTCAGGTGAGTGTACAATGGTATAATATAACCCAAGACCTGGCAGCAGAAGAGGGTCTTAGTAATGCCCAAACAATCTCTGTTGAGCCCTGAGCCCTAGAACACAGCTTAGGGTCACTTGTGGACCTTTTTGTCCATGACCAAGCACCCACATTCCTCATCCAGAGCCCCTGGCACCACTCAGAGCCAGTGATCCCCCGTGAGAGAAGTGCACACAGGCCTAGATGCAGATTGAAGGAGGACACACTTGCAGATGTACAAAAATCCATGCAACAGCCCCAAGCCCACATACACACGTGCCCCCCTCAGAGTCTCACCTGCCCAGAGCTTTACACACATGTGTACCCCAGACTCCCTCGCCAGACCCACTCCCTGAAGTCACAGGAGGCAGAAAGACCCTGGAAAGATGGGGGGAAGTTTTTACTAGTAGGGCACTAATCAGTTGAGGGTGATTATTTGTGGTCTGCAAGGAATGGAGAAGCCCTGGCTCCCCAGCTCTAGGGCTGCCCTGTATGTGAGGCAGGCAGGGACCACTATGGTGACTACATTTCTTGGGGCAGTGGTTTCCCAAACTGGCCAAACATGCGGATTACCTGAGGACCTCATGTAGATGACAGATTACTGAGATTTTAATTTCCTGGGTCCAGAATGGGGCCAAGATCCTATAATTACATCAAGCTCTGCAGTCAATTCTGCTGGTCACTACTGTGAAGAGATGTATAAAGTGGCACAAACACAAGCCAGAACAGGGCAAGCTGGACCATGCCTAGCTTATGGCATTTGTTTACCTAGTAAATGGCTATTTGTACCCCAGTTCTTTTAACCATGACTTCTGTTTTTGATAAATAAACCACTAGTTCACAGATGAGAAATTGTCCCCTCCCCACACAGATGGTCACCAGTGTTGAAAGCACCCAGGTTCAAGGGGCTAGGGCACAGGCCACATACACCGAAGCTGGCAGCTTCGAATCCAGCCCAGGCCTGCCAAACAACAATGACAACTACAACCAAAGAATAGCTGGGTATTGTGGTGGGCGCCTATAGTCCCAGCTACTTGGGAGGCTGAGGCAAGAAAATCGCTTAAGCTCAAAAGTTGGAGGTTGCTGTGAGCTGTGGCGCCACAGCACTCTACCAAGGGCTACAGCTTGAGACTCTGTCTCAAAAAATAAATAAATAAATAAATAAGAAAGCACCGCTTTCCAGATGGACCTTGCCCTGAGGGCCTCCCTCTTCCTGGCAGCCCGTCAGTGACTTGGGGTTACCAGGACAACATGGCTTTACAAAATCAACTTCCTGGCATTTCCAGCCCAGGCCCCCAATGACATCCAATCCCTTCCTGGTTAATGAAAAGAACACAAAATCTGTGATTCCTGGCAGGCTTCAAAGGACCCATCAGTTACAGAATAACTAGCAAACAGCCTTCCAGGTCAGAGACTCTGTAATGACACATATCCCAAGGGGGCGAGTCTGTGACTCCTGGATCCATTTGTCCATTTGTAATTTTGTAAGGGGTTATCCTGGGGGCCTGTTTGTTTTGAAACAAGGTCTTGCTTTGTTGAGTGGCCACGAGAACAGTGGCATGATCGCAGCTCACTGTAGCCTCAAACTCCAGTGCTCAAATGGTCCTACCTCAGCTTCCCAAGTAGCTGGGACAGCGGCATATGCCACCATGCCAGCTAATTTTTGTATTTTTTATAGAGATAAAAGTCTTGCTATGTTGCTCAGGCTGGTCTGAATTCCTGATCTCAAGCAATCCTCCTGCCTTGGCTTCTCAAACTGCTAGGATTACAGGTCTGAGCCACAGTGGTTGGCACATCTGTAATTTTTTTGATGTACCAGTTCAACAAATAATCATCAAGCACCTAACTAACCATGAGATGCTTTTCTGTTTTAGATACAAACAGAAATAAAATAGAAAATTAAGGTTAACCAAAGTTTTTCATTAAGTTAAAGTGGCCTTTAACCCATTCATAAAAACTGTTCCAATCTCATTATGTGAATGATGTGGTGGCTGAATCTGGCCTCCACTCTTTTCCCCTGGTTTAACACTTGGGGCCTATGTAATCTCAGATCCTTTCACCTTTAGACAGATGAAAAATACCTTGACTGTGAGCCGGAATGTGGGCTAAAATAGTGCCAGGACCCTGCTGGGAAGAGAGATTTCACTTGCTCACTGCCTGACTGCCTGGGGCCTCACAATTTGACCTACAGAGTGTGAAGCTCATTTGGGGGGAGTTTTTCCTCTTGTCTGTACTGATAATGTGCCCATTAACCTATGTGATGGAACAAGGATGTCACAGCAAAGGTTGGAGTGAGACTACTGGGCAGCAAGGGGAGTCAAGGCCCCAGTGGTCTCAGACAAGGGCGCCCCCTGCAGGACTCTCCTGAAGTACACCGTGATACCCTCCCAAGGCTTCTAAAATTGTGCAGGAATGTTCTTTGTCCTTGAGGTCACCCTAGTGAAGGGGGTGGGTAAGGGAGGGGTGACACAGCTACCCAGGTGAGAGGATTCCTAGGACTAATAACTTTACCTGGTAGGGTTCTGCCTACTAGGTCAGGTTGTGAAAGGTTGTGTGGGGCAGCTCCCAAACAACTGGAAACAATACCCATAGCCTAGTGAGGGCTGGGCTAGCCATCGGCAGGTCTCAGGGTGAGAGTTTGGTGTCAAGTAGTGTGGCAATTCTTGAAGAAAATGAAGTAGATCTCTCAGTGGCTGAGATGTCCTGTCTGCTCTTACACTGGTGGGGCCCTTCATGGCCTGCAGTGTCCTCACCATAAAAGGAGAAGTTAGATGTGGCCCTCTCCATGGTGGACTCTGGCTCAAGGCTGTGCTCCTGGCACAGAGTATCCTTTGTTCTGGGCTGGACCAGAACCCTCCTGCCCCACAGTCAGCCTCTTTTTCCTTTCCTATCCCATGATCAAATATATCCCCTTCATTTTCTTCCTAACTCCACAAAGGAAGGACTCAACACCAGTCAGGAGAAAACCAGCACCTTTCTCTTTCAAAGCAGCGGAGAGTTTGGCAGGGGCCCATGAAGGGGGCCGAGCCCGCACCTCTTTAGGCGGGAAACTCACAGACGGCCAGGTAGGAGGACGTGCAGGAGATATCATTCCAGGTCCCATCCGTGAGGATAATCACACAGTCCTCCCCTGAACCGTGGTTATTGGGCTCATCCTTCTTCCAGTTGCTGTAGGTCAACCTCCCTCCTGTCACGTACATGAACTGGCCTTCAGTGACCTCATCTGTGATGCCCAGGAAGGCAATGTCTTTGGCCACATCCTGGATGGCCTTATTCTCCTCAGGACTCCTGGGGACGGCCACAGTGGCCTGAAGCTCAGCACACAGAGCCTTTACTTTGGAGAAAGGCGTCTTCTCCCCGTTGGTCACGTAGAGCTTCTTACCTTGCTTTTTCCCCAGGGAGAAGGCTTGCACTGAAATCACAAAGGGGAGCTGGTGAGGCTGACTGGATATGGAGCCTGCCTAGGACAGGAGTCCAAAATGCCCCTCTCAGGGAGCTCCAGGCTCTGAAAAATAACCTTATGCCCAACCGCCTCACGCCGGAGCCGAGGAAGGAAGCCTGCCTCAGTTACGAGAGCCAAGGATGGGAAACATGGCCCTCATCAGAAAGCCTTGAGTCTCCCAGGATGGGCCACCCTAGAGGAAAATACCTGTTAAAAACCACCCTAGCACAAGTAGAGACAGAGGAACATGCTTGGGCCTCCCTGCCAGGCTTGGGCACCAAGGTAGGAGGCAGGGACAGCCATCTGAGAACAGTGGGTGTAGAGGAAGAAGCAAAGATTTTAGACAACAGACATCTTCCTTTGCTACTTCCTAGCTGTGTGACATTGACTGAGTTACCTGCACTTCCCGTAGCTGTAAGTAAAACTAGTATAATAACCACAACTGGGGTTGGTGAGAGGATTGAGTAAAACCATGTTCTAAGTAAGTGCCAGCTCAGCACAGGCCCCAGCAGGTGTAGTAAGTGTTCCTGGTGTCACTTCTTTCCATCCTCCCCAGAACCTAGAACACTCTGAGGAAAAGGTGAGGGCCCAGAACACAGGGGGAACAGAGAAGCAGCTTACACTTCCTCATGGTGTCCAGGTCTGCTTTCAGGCTCCTTACTTCTCTCTCTAAACTGTGCAGCTTAGCCTCAGCAGCTACAAAGCAATAGGGAGAAGGAAATTAACTGAGAAGACCTTCAACTGGAAAGCAGAGTATTTGCAAAAAGTAAAAAATAAAATTTTAAAATGAACTTACATAAGGAAGTATGCTTATACCAGAAAAATAAGAAAGCAAAAAGAAGTACAAGGATTAAAAAAACACACACACACACCTGTATTCCTGCCTTCTCAGACATAAATCTTATTATCTCTTGACGACTCTTAACTGTAGATCTGGGCCTTTCACCATTCATCATTAAATATTATAATATTATGATAATTTATAAGTAAATAGTCACTCTGTCCTTTAGGAAAGTTTTTCTTTGTAATTTCTCAGTCCAGATAAACTTTTTAATATTTTTATTATTTTGGCTGATTGGTAGACAAACATTAATAAAAGAGTTGTCATTTTTCTGTTGTTCTTACTGGATTTGCTCTATTTTATGCTGAACTAAATTGCTATGATGTTTCCCATTTTCCAGTGGTCCTACAAGGCAGACCACTTTCATGCCACTCTTGTGACAACAGATATAAAGCCATCACCTGAAAGGGCCCATTTCCTCTGCCACCTGGAGACAACACTGGACTGGTTCAGCTGAAGAAAAGCCAGGGCCTGTCTCCTGCCGAGGGCTGATGAGGGAATGGCCCTGCAGTGTTTGCAAGCCTACTGGGCACTCATAGGAATTCCCTTAAGCCCAAATAAGGCTTAGAAGGTGGAGGGTGCTGGGCCAGGAAGCAGAGATGAGCATCTTCCAGGGAGGCAGCAGAAGGGACACCTACCACCTGGCACTCCAGTTCCCAGGGCCCTGAGTCCCCTAAGACAAGACCATGCCATGGTGTGCCCCTTACCCGAATTGTCTCCATGATCTCCTTTTTGGCCTTTCGGTCCTGGACTCCCAGGGGCCCCTCTCTCTCCCGGAGGCCCTAGCTTTCCAGGAGGGCCCTGCAAACCTCTGAGCCCTTGACCTGTTAGAAGACAGAGGAAACGTGACCCCATAGCTGTCACTCATTTTCTTTTTCCAAGAGCTCAATACATGATTCTCATCAACCCTAAAGAACAGCCAGAGAGCAAGTGGTGACACAAAGAAAAAAGATTTCCCAGCATCCCAGGGGAAGGTGTGGCCTGAGGGCCAGCTCCTGAAGCAGGCAGGACACTCCCTCTGTAGGGACCACACACCACCAATTCCTGGGTGCAAATGTGGGCTCAAGAGAGTCAGACAAGCACCTTTGTTTTGGAGGCAATGACATTGGATGGGGATTATTCTGAGTGGACTAGTACCCACCATAATGAAAGGAGTCTCCTCATTCAGTCTCTGTGCTCGGACCCCCACGGGGAATTGTCTCCTGCAGAAGGTAAAGATTTGCAAAGACAAGTAGCGTGTCCCTTACCTGGCTCTCCCTTTTCCCCCTTGGGTCCGTCACGACCATCTCTGCCTGGGGTACCATTGGTGACTGGGATGCTGCAGGAGATCAGGTTGCAGGCCTTTTGGACATCCTCACAGGTTTTTGTTTCTGAGCAGGATACCGTCACCACACGCAGAAGAAGGGCAAGGAGTGATGGAAACAGGAACATGGTCCTCACCTTGGCATGGAGAAAGTCAAGAAAAATAATTCCATTTCATCTTGTTTTGCTACTGGCTGCAGTGTGCTGGACCCTGTGCTCAGGACAGCAGACACACAGGGGAATACCACAGCCCTTGGCTCAGAGTTACTCCCAGGCAAATAAGGAGGCAGACAAGTGAAAAAGCTAAATTCTTGGGTACAAGAATAACAGGAGCCCATTCTCCCTGGGGTTCCAGAGCATCTTTCAACACAAGCCTTAGTGGTTAGGCACCCCCTACCCTGAGAGTCCGCAGGGCCTGAAAATTCCAAACTAGCCGTGTTACTGGTGACCAAGCACAAAGGCAAAGAGCCCCTCGTCTGCATAAGCTTCAGCCAAAGCCTTGATTTCTTTTCTTTTTTCTTTTTCTATTGTTTGGGATTTGTTGAGTATATAAAGATTTAAGTTACACTGATTGCATTTGTTAGATAAAGTCCCTCTTATAATTGTGTCCCACCCCAAAGAGGTGTGCCATACACCATGACCCCATCCCTTTTCCTCTTCCCCGCTCCATGCTCCCTCATTGCCCTACCCTCGACCTTGTATTAGGTCATCTACCTCCTTCATAATAGAATTGAGTACATTGGCTTCTTGCTTCTCCATTCTTGTGATACATTACTAAGAAGAATGCACTCCCACTCAACCCAGGTTAATAGAAAAGATGTAAAGTCTCCATCATTTTTAATGGCTGAATATTATTCCAAGGTATACATATACCTCAGCTTATTCCATTCCTGGGTTGGTGGGCATTTAGGTTGTTAACCACATTTTTGGTGATTGTAAATTGAGCTGCGATAAACAGTCTAGTACAAATGTCCTTATGATAAAAGGATTTTTTTTCTTCTGGGTAGATGCCTAGTAATGTAATTGCAGGATCAAATGAGAGGTCTAATTTGAGTTCTTTGAGGATTCTCCATACTTCCTTCTCAAAAAATTGTTACTAGTTTGCATTCCCACCGGGGTGTCTCGGCTCTCTCTTCTTCCCTTTCCTATAGGCCCTGAGGCTAGACTGACCGCAGCAGGTAACCTGAGGTGCCACAAGGTCTGTTTCTTGCCTGGATCTTATTTATAATATCCACTCTCCCGTTTCAAATAAAAATCCCTGTCTAACATGCCAGGGCCCCAGATGCCCTCAGAACTACAGTTGCTTTTCCAGCAGCCTGTACAGACTTGTGTAAAGTCTCTATTTTGTGACAGACACTTGCTAGGGGCTCAGTACCCAGAATGCATGAAGGCAGGAATCTGAACCTCAAAATGGAAACTTCTTTGGTTATTGATCCTGTCCAGATGAGACTTCCCTCGGTTTAAGATTTTCCAAACCCCAGGCTGGTGAAATTTCTGCTCGCCTTGTGCCTGGCAGGGAGCCAGCTCATGATCCTTCTCTTGGCTGTATCCTCCAGTGCTGCCCAGGTGCCCATCCAGCCTGTGCCCAAGCTGGCCGCTCCTCTGGGACACCCCGGCAGCCCAGCCTCTATAGGACTCTATCTCTGCTCTCCTCCAACCTCTGACCCAATGTCACTGGGCCTTGCTGTGTAACTACTACACCTGTCAGCCCCCTTTACCTCCCCTTCCTCCATGACTCAGTGAGAGAAGCCCAGTTGAAAGTGAACTTTCAGAATCATAACCTGCTCTGCCTTTCCTTTCTTTTTTTCCCCCCTCTTTTTTTAAACCTGACAGTTCTGAAGGCCATAATCAGGGCTTATACTTGTTGCTAGCACATATACCCCACCACTATTTTTCTCTTTGGAAAAGACTACCCTTCAGTTTGCTGATGATCAAGTGGATCGAGGAAAGGCACAGATGCCCCAGGTCAGAGGCACACAGAGGCCCTAGGTGGCTCTGAGTTACTCCCAGGCCAACAGCCCCATTAAAGCTCCTGCCTGGAACTCACCAGGATCAAATCCAGAGGCCAGCCTTGCCCAGGCTCCTACTTCTTTCCTCCAGAAATGACTTACCTGGGCTTCCACAGAGCACAGAGGAAACAGCAGAACAGCTGGCAGATGTTTCAGCGACGTCAGGCCCTGTTAGCGTGGTGACCAGGGACAGGACTGGACTGGCCTTCAACCCCAGATTAATAAGCAACCACCCTTAGAACAGCTGTATTCTGGGAAGCTCTTCAGTGCTGCTGGTGGGATCTCTAGCACAGCACCAGGCAGTTCTCTACCTTAATGCCCTAAACTCCTTCCCCTGCCCCTCCCAGGCATCCTCTCTACACCACCTTGGAGCCTCTAAATCACAGGTTCTCAGGATAGTTCTCTCTCTGTACTTACTTCCGGGAGAAACACGCATAGACATTCTACCTGAAAAACACATGCTCACACACACACCTACACTCACGCACAGGCACAGATCTTTGTATCTATTGTTCTGGCAAGTTCCATTTGTGTTTCATGTGCAGCAAGGCTGGATTGGAGAAAGGCAAGATCTACACTACTGAGTCACTTCATTACTCTACTCTCATTCAGAGAGTTTATCAAATGTCTTCTTCTTTGAGCATGTCACAGTGCCTGGCACAAGGGGAGGGAGTTTTCATGTTATTTGTAACTTACATTCATAGCTGAATGTGGAGATTTGTACCAGCTGCTCCCTCTGCCCAGACAGTTCCATCTTTGCATAGCTATTTGTTGCCATTCAGATTGAATCTTAAATATGTATTATGTCTGGATAAGGGGCTTTCCTAAGCATTTAGTTTTAAGTAGGCACTCTATCACTAAGTTATAATTATGTGTTCTAATGTTCTGCAGATTATTTATTTCTACATGAAATTGTTCTGGTCATTTAGTTGCATGATGATTTATCACCACATCCCATTTGTAAAGAGAACTCCACCCTGTTCTCCCACGTAGAAGGGTGCCTGGAAACAGAGTTGATGCTCTATAAGATTGATAAAACAAGTGAATTTTCCAGCATCGTGTCCTCAAAGCAGCCCTCTTGACTTCTCACTGGCTGGAGATAACATCTGTGGCCACTTCACCAGTGATTCTCCTTTCCCTGAGCAGCAGCTGTATTCAAGACTTCCTTGTTCCCAGGGTGCAACCCATGGCTGGGTCCACTGATGGGACTTGGTGAGAGAGTGAGGAGAAAAGCAGAGACCTTGAGCTGATGCCAGAGCAGTCTGTGGTTTCTGTAGGCCTGGGCTTCCAGGAGTGTCCAGTTCTTATCACCAAAGCCTGATCAAGTGGCCCATGACGTGATCTTGGATGCCTATCTTTCTCCAAACTCACACTCATTCTTTGAAATGCTTTATCTCAACAACTTAAGAGGTTTGCTTTTTCCCTGGTGGGGCATGGGGCTGGGCTGCTTCCTTTTGATTCTGTCTTGTGACTGGTATTTGGCTTCTCAAGGGTCATCAGCCCTGTATACTCATGTCATCACGTCCTGTTCCAAAGCCCTCCTGATTGCTGCCACAGGGAGCCTGCTGGGCACCAACAGGAGCCCCCACTGTAAAGAAGATTCCTCTCAGTGACAAAAGACATTTTAATTCTTATGGGAAATCAGCAGACTTCCCAGAAGGGGAGGAATTTGAAACTGAGAGATTTACATAAAACCCAAACCTTAAATGTGCTACATACAGACTTAGAGAAATAAGGTGGTGGTTGGTGGTGGTGTTGAGGGGAGGTGTGTGGGGTAAAATCCCACAAAAATTAAATGAAATGTGCTATTTTAATTCCAGAAACTGAGCGAAAAGACTTGTGAGTATTATGCACTTTTGTCAAGACCTAAGCAACCTTGGAAAACACAGTGGGGGCCTGCAGGCCAGGCCTAACAACCTCCTACAGGGAACCCTGACTATGTAGTCAAGTCAGCCTGCCAGATAAGGGTTGAAACCGCCCATCTGTGCAGAGGACATGACTCAAAGGTTAATGTGAGTGAAAAGAAAAACTCCATCGTAATGATGTGAGTGAAACACTCTATCGTAAGGTGGGGTCTCCAAACCATAAGAAAACAGTCATGGAGCCTGTTTCTCGGAAATTTAATTGAGTACATAGAAGAAAAGGGTTTTACTCCTCTGTTTATCCTAACCTTTAACTTTAACAAGAGAAGTCAGATAATGCATAGTTCGTTTAGGTCTTCAGAGAGGAACAGCCTGAGGCTAGCTTAAGATGGTTGTCTTACTTTCCCAGACTTTCTTTCTTTGGGCTAATCTTATGATGGTTATCTCACTTTCCCAGACTTTCTTTCTTTTCTATAGTTTAAGATAAGAATTGAGGATCCCACTGGAGTATGTGGAGTAAACACTCTAGTCCCTTTGCTATTTGGCTGGGCCACATGACTGAGCAGATACAAAGGGAGCAGCAGTTTTCAATGCACTTACAGGTTTAAGGTGGTCTTTGTGTTTCTTTCCCCATCATGGGAAGAATCTGTCCCTGGCACTGACTAATACACATATCAAGACAATTAAGTGATATGGAATAGACATTAACTCATTGGAAAGCCTAGAGACCAACTAACCACAGCTAAGTCCAGGCCAGCTCGGCTGAGGTCAGCCAAAGCTCAGAAAACTGGAAGATCCACAGCAAAAAACACGTAGTAAAAATGTTTTTTGTTAAAGACAGCTGAGGTGGAGATACAGTGTTGCATTAGCTGACTGACCAGTATCAGTGATTAGTAGAAAAGGTATAGGAAATAAATAGATAAATAAGAAAAAGGAAAAATACACTAATATAGATGGTATGGACATTATAAAATTACATTATGCACATTGATTTTATAGCCATGTATTTGAGAACTAAATAAAATAGATAATATTAGAAAAAAGTTCAGAAGCATTAAATACTTAAGTGGGCTTAAGAAGTGTTAGAATGGCTGACATAGCATTAGTAATAAAATACAGAAATGGAAATTATTGAACATCCTTCCATCAAAATGTGGTTTTAAGGTGAGTTTTTCTAACCTTCAGAGAAGAGATAATGCCTCCCTCACATGAATGGCTTATAGTCAAAAAAGTACTTAGAATGATTAGCTGAACATGTAAGTCAAACGGATAAGGACAGAACAAAAGAAGGGAACTCAGACAATCTAATTTATAAGTATAGACAGAAAATACAATATAAAAATTAGCTGTTGGTTGGACATGGTAGCTAATGCCTGTAATCCTAGCACTCTTGGAGGCCAAGGCAGGTGGATTGCTTGAGCTCATGAGTTCAAGATCAGGCTGAGCCAGA